GAGAAAGTATGCTCCCACCATCTCCCCCTCAGCTGGCTATGGGGTGGAGGCCTGGTTCGTAGGGGTGATGCTGAAGCAGCGTGGGAGGACAGGGTCCCGTCCAGCAGTGCACAGGAGCCCCAAGGCACCCGGGACTCTGACTGCGACGTGCTGTGGTTAAGGCTGTAGAAGAGGGAGCTGGAGTGCTCGCGCCTGCCAGGCTTTCCCAGAACCGACCCCAAACCCTTCCTCACCTTCAGGAGCTCCTTGTCTGCGAATGCCATGATGCCTTCGAAGATAATCACGTTGGCGCCATAGAGGGTTTTCTGCGGAGTCAAAATCGATGTGGTTAGACATCGGCAGATGCCGTTACTCCAAACGGCACCCCCCATTCCTGCCTTGGCAGTCCCCCCACCCCCACCTTGTCCCACAGCGTGCCGTACCCATTCCTTCTTCCGGCTGTGGGTGGTGAAGTCGTAGATGGGGATCTTCACACTCTTGCCTTGCTTCAGCTTTTTCAGGGTGGCGATGATGAGGTCAAAGTCGAAGGCATCGGGGTGGTCAAAGTTGAAGTCATTGCTGGCTGCCTGCTCCTGCTGCTGCTTGGTCAACACCTGCCCACAACGAAGGGGTTAGTCCACGTGGCCAACCCCACGGGCAGCCTCCCTCCCCACCACTGTGCCCAGCAACCTCTCCTCCTGCCCCAAGAGCCATCTGAAGGGGCCAGGGGAAACCATAGAACAGTTTGGGTTGGAAGGATCTTTTAAAGGTCGTCTTGTCCAACCTCCATGCCATGAACAGGGACATTTTCAACTAGACCAGGTTGCTCAGAGCCCCGTCCAACTTGGCCTGGGATGTTTCCAGGGATGGGGCATCGACCACCTCCCTGGGCAACCTGGGCCAGGGTTTCACCACCCCCACTGTGAAAAATTTCTCCCTTGTATCTAGCCCAAATCTGCTGTCTTTTAGTTTAAAACTATTACCCCTTGTCCTATCACAACAGGGCCTGCTAAGAAGTCTGTCCCCACCTTTCTTCTAAGCCCCTTTAAGTCCTGAGAGGCCACATCTGTCAATTAATCAACCTTGTGTTTCCCCATCAGTGGGTTAGGCCAAGGGCCACGGCAGCCCACGCGCCTAGCCAGGACGACGCGCGGCCTCACCTTGTAGAAGGAGTCCATGGACAACAGAACCACCCAAGGAACATCAAGAGCCTCAATGATCATGGTGGCCACCGTGGTCTTCCCAGAGGCACTGCCTCCTCCCAGGCCTGCCAGGGAAAAGGGGATGAAGCCACCATGCTTCCAACCACAAGCTAGAGCCTAGGTCCTGCTCTGTTTCACTAAGTTGCAGGAGCCTCCAAAGACGGAGATCACTAGGCACTACGAGAGAGAGATTACCCTTGAAAATGTCAAACGGTATGTACTGCAGCTGCCAGCAATGTGCACAGCAAAAGCTGGGAAACCCTTCGTCAGATGGTTGTGTAACAAGGGGAGAGCTGGCATGAGAACCAGCCTAGGCTAAATCCCTGGGAACTCGTGACAAGCCAGGCAACAAGAGTTGAGGGAACAACAAGCGAAGACTGGTCTGCCCAGTGCCTGCTAGAATCCACCACCCCCATCTGCAAGCTCTCGGCTTCTGCCCAATTCTACAGCTCACCCAGTCAACGCTGGACTAACCATGGGCGCTCTCCCCGCTCCTGTCTGGGCCGAGCAGCTCGCAGCCTGGAGCCAGCCTCAAGTTTCCAAGGAGACTGTGGGGCAGGAATCGCCCCAAGGTCTCCTGGAGAGCCAGGAGCGACGCTGCCCATGCTAGAAGCGCAGAGGTGGGACAGAACTTGGACACGCGCTGCCCCTGCCTACCTATCACGAAGGCCTCCTTGGACTGCGTCCCATGCTCGTTGTACCACGGTGGCCGGCCAGCTGTGTAGATGGTCCTCTTGCTGGTGCGCAGCAGGGGTGGCTCAGACTTGCACTGGCTAGTGGTCCGCTTTCGGGGTGGTTTGGTGGATCCCACCGCAGGGTACAGCCGGTCTAAGGATTCGGCGCTGCTGTTGCTGGGGACGGGGAGAGGAAGGAGCTCGGTTACGGGTGGTGGGGAAGGGCCTGGACTCCCAGTGCGTGGGAGCGGGGTCTCCGGGGGGATCCCGCGCTGTACAGGGGAGGGATGCCGTGAGGGAGCGGGAGAGGCAACCACAGCCCTGCTGCGGCACTACCGGCACCCACGCCTCCGCGACCCCAGGCCGTGGCCAACATTGAGAAACTCTCTCACAGGACCAGCTTCAGCCTGGAAAAGGTGCAGCGCAAGCACTGGCTTCCTACAGCCCTTCCGCGTGGGGAACGTCCGCGTTAAATAACCCCCCGTGCGCCCTCAAAAGCACCGAGGGCTGTTACTACCAAGGGCAATAACCTCTCCCGACGTGCCGAGGGACCCGTCTGGGGGATGGAAGCCAAAGACAGGGGCTACAGCTCGACCGTCCTCTTCCCCCCATGCACGGTCCCCTTCCTCTCCCCACTTTGGGCGCTCCACTCCCACCCAAACCTCTAGTTCTCCCATCCTTTAGGGCTGAAACCCCCGGGGACAAGCCCGCGAGCTGGCCAGAGCCGGGCAGCGGAGCTGCCAAGCCTTTG